AGTCAGTTGAAATCTATCACAGCTTGTTCAGATCTAGTTAGCTATCAGTTTCTTTCTGTCTTTCAAAGTCTATTTCTATCTATCTATCTATCTATCTATCTATCTATCTATCTATCTTACATGTAATATATATGGTAGCTACATTAAGTTAACTACATCTGCATCTGGCATTTCAACATGCTAACTGCAAAACATACAAATCATGATTATATCGCGTGGTATTGATGTCGTGCCATGGGTTATGGTGTTCATCAATCCCTACCTCAATGTCATCTTTTCATTAGATACTTCCATTCAGACACAGCTGTTGTTTTTACAGCATTGTTTAATTCTCCCCATACAAATATAAGAAATTAGGTATATCAATAAGTCTGTGGTCAACCAAAACAAAATCATTTAGTTTACCGAAGAAATAATTATTTTTCAAAATAGCCCCTTCTCTTGCCAACGAATACACTATAATAATGAATATTAATAATACAGCGTGAACGTTATATGTTGAACATTACAGATACCATTTTGGTTAATAAGAATGTCTCAACTTACATGACTTATAGCCCCACCCTTGGATGATGACACGCCAAAATATCTTTGTCTTTTTATTATGAAGATTCTTCTGTTTCTCCGCATTTCGAATCTTCCGCTCGTGTCAACCCTTATCATACGTCGAGGTCGTCTGAACGCTCGACACGAAGACGCATGCGCCGGCTGCGCAATGCAATCAGAGTGCTTCTCCAGCATTCGTCATGACACGTCAACTCGACAGATGCACTGAGATGATATGAGGCTTCCACAGAGAATTTGCTTGAGAGGAAAGATTGGATTAGATTTTGTGCCGTGGATTGGACAGATTCAAATTGTTTTTTTTCTTTCTGTCTCTCCTTCTTTCTTCTTTTTCTTGATTCATTTTTATCGTTTTTTTTTTTTTGTTTTGTTTTGTTTTAGCTACGAGTTTTCTTTTCTTTCTTTAATCTTTTTCTCTATCATTCTTTGTTCTTCTTCGATTTTCAGATGTCAGATTTCCACGGCCTGTCTCTGGCTTTTATTCCATTCACATCTCATTTTGTTTCGTTCGTTATATGCTCTTCTCCTTAATTAGTGTTTTTTTTTCTTTTTTTTTTTAATCTCTTTTCGCACAAATCTTATCCCTCTCTTTATCATCACTTCTTCCTCTTCATCTTCTTCTTCTTCTTTTTCTTCTTTATCGGGTACGTTTTATTATGACAATTGTTTTTTATTATTTCCATAGATTTCTGTTGTATACTCTTTTCCATCTGGGTCCCAACCAGTAATCTAGGTCAGAAATGTCATCATGACATTTCAAACCGATCATTTTTTATAAAAAAAACAAAACAAAACACGCAAGATTACATACAGTTTACATAGATAAATCCATTATTATTTTTTTTTTTTTTTTTTATACATTCCATATTGTTTTCATTCATTTTCTTATTTATTAGATTCTTTTTTTTCTTATTCTTCCCGAAATTCTATCAATTTTTCTTGCAGTGTATTTATTCTTTTTTCCTATTCCACCACCATTCACTCCCTTAATCTGTTGATTGTTCTTTTTTTATTCTCTTCATTTTTCATTCAGTCCTTTATTCATGACGCCTCGCACTTTTTCCTCTTCCAATTCCTTCTCTTCGACCATTTTTATCGCTATTTTACTTTGCATAGCAAACAAAAGAAACATGACTGGTTTATTCTTCTTATTTGCAATCTGCTTTTTTTATTTTAAGAGTCACGGAGAGACGAGTTCGAATTCCAGTCGAATCCATTACATTTACTTCCGAGCTAATACCCTTGGGAAAGTTATGAATCCTCTTCTTCTCCCTCCAGCTATGGGTAAATAGCAGGACAGAACGGGTTCTATAGCCTTGGAAAGAAATAGCAACCTACCGCGGGAAAAAAATCTGCCTCATCAGTCGTGTATCGCCTAAGCGTGTATCACTCATGGCACGTAACTTTTTATTTTACTATTATGCTTAAATAATGTTATTATTTTCTGTTCTCGTTTCTTTTCCTCCCTTTATTTAATAATTTCTCTTTAACTTTCGCGTACTTACTTTTTTACATTCAAATCATCATCCCTTTCCGCTTTTTGTTCTATAATGTCTTTTTTTTTATTAGGCTTTAGTGATTTTCAGCCCTCATCCTTGATCAATCGTTTGCTTTTACTCAACTCAACCTACGGTTACACCATCTCTTTTTTTTATCATATTGAACACATTGAATTTGGCTCAAGAGTTGTATCTGTTCGTCCTCTCGGAAGATCAAGTCACAATAAACATCTTGGGAACTCGAACGATATGCTATTGTTACTGTTCTAGTTACATAATGAAGCATTGCAGAGTTGTAGGCACCTTTTGTTGACACTCCATTTTTGATCTGACATATAAAAATTTTATTTTTATTATTTGCAAAAAAATGTTAAAGATCTATGTACAATAGACTTTTATTATTTTTATACACATTTTGAGAAAAGTGTATTCTTCAAAAGGCCAGACGGTTTTGTGCATTTTTATGGCTTTTTAGGCTCAAGCGGTAAACCGCCAAAATTGTTTGAAGTGTTTCCGAATTATTTTTTTTTTTATCTGCTTGGAGAGTTTTTTTTTTTTTTTTTTTTTTTTTTAAATATATATTGGCCAATGAGAAACAAGTTTCCTGGCCAATGTCAAATTTTGACTGGAGCTGATATCGTGGTTATATTTTCAATAAAAAGCACTGCTATCAGCGGATGGCAAAGGAGAAAAACTGACGGGACAAGGTTGTGCCATTAATGAGAACGGACAGAGCACAGCACCCGCACTTCAAAGGATGGCCCAGCTGTAGGGCGTATATCAGACCTGATAGATTCCTAAACCAGAAACGTTCACACCAGCTAAATATATGTAAACTTTGTAGCACAAACCCACTTCAGGCGGAGACGTCCTGTTTGTTTAAAGTGTTAAGAAAGGAGATGGGTGCTATTTGAAAAAAAATCTGCCTTGCATCATTTTGTTACTTCTTTCTCCAAGTTTTTTTTCCCCGTTTTTTTTTCTATTTTCATTATTATTATTATTATTATTATTATTATTATTACAAAGTAATTCTGGTACTAAAACTTATTTTTACACAAGTTTGAGGGTTAACTATTTTCCCATAGCTGGGACCCTAACAGGTGCTACCACCCAGGGTCAGGGTTGACGTGGGAACACCAGCAACTGAGGTGGTTTCACGCTCCACAAAATCTTCTGATCAGAGACCTTGCTGTTTGACGTAGTTTATCGTCTTACCCAGGACGCGGACGTAGTTTATCGTCTTACCCAGGACGCGGATGTAGTTTATCGTCTTACCCAGGACGCGGACGTAGTTTATCGTCTTACCCAGGACGCGGATGTAGTTTATCGTCTTACCCAGGACGCGGATGTAGTTTATCGTCATAACCAGGGCGGGAGAACTAATGATGAAAACAATAACAAAAAAAGAAAAAAACAATAAAAAAAAGATTACCCAAAGAAACAAGATAAACGTTATGCAATTTATTAGATAAGAAACGGATTCACGTACAAAAAAAAATTATTTATTGTGACATTTTTTTTGTGTGTGAATCCGTTTCTTATCTTATAAACTGTATCACATTTTTCTCGTTTCTGTGGGTAATCATTTTTTTTTCTTTTTGTCATCTCAAGAAAGTGTTACCATGCAGAACGAGGCGCACAAGAGGCATTTAGGGGCAACCCTTGTTTTGTAGTCCTCGAATTTATAAATTGTAAATAAATGTATTATTCCTTTTAACATTTTACGCAGTGGTCATCTTGTTTCTTAAGTTTCATCTTTTTTCGAAAGTTGCCTTTTCTAGGGACTAAGTTTTGTGTCTGAGATGAACTTGGAGTTGGCAAGAAGCAATTTTTTAAGATGTGACCCTTGACGTATCCTCATTTTCCAACGTGGAAACGATTCATTATTTTCTACCTTACAACAGCTTTCCTGCAAACAAAGACCTCGCTATCTATTGCTATGTTCATGTTAGTTCTGCAAACGAGCTACATTCTTTAGTCCCACCAGTTCAGAAAGCTAAGACTCGCCATGCCATCGCCGGATTCATCAACTTCCTATTCCGTATATAAAAGTAAAGTTCGATTCAGACAACTCAGAACGGTTATTTTGCGGAATAGACTTCCGAGCGGATACTTAAGCTCCTGAAGTTGAACGTCAGCCGTTATCTATCCTATATAACTTCATAATATATAGCGCTTCTTTCTTTTAACGTTCATGCAACAGCATCATTCGATAACCCTCTATCAGGATTGCTTCTTGGACATTGCATTTGGTAAAAATAATAGAGACATTTATGCGGAAGTATTCGTCTTTTCGAGGCTCACTTGCCACTTGCTTTCATGTCCGTGTGAATTATAAAAAAGCTTGGTAAATAATCGAAATGATACAAAAGTAATTGAATTAAGCCGAATAAATAAATTCCCTCGGTATGACGATAAACTACCTCCAGCAGCAAGACCTCTGATATCGATGTTTTGTGGAGCGTCGGACCACTTCTTAATTGCTGCTGTTCCCAAACTTGGGTAAAAACATTATGAAAGTATACAAATATATATTAGACATTTGAGTCATGCGTTCCTGATAAATTTTAACCTTTCTGACTAAGTCAAAATTCGTAAACAATTTGTTTGCAATTTTTCACGGTAGATATACAAATATTTACAAGTGTTTACCCACCGTTCAACCGGTAGCTGAGCATTGTCATTTTTCTCTAACACTGTTCAACCGGTGGCTGGACATTACTTGATTCTTCTCTACCACCGGTAAAGCGGTGGTCAGGGCTCAAAGGTTTAATGGTGAAAATACTAGCAATACATTTTTGTAAAAAAATATTACGAGCAATACATTTGTTTCCCGCCAAAAAAACTCTTTACGAAATAAAACCCAACCTACAACTGATTTCTTGCAAATACATATTTCATTCATACGAACCTATCTTAAAAATGTTGTTGGCATTAAATAAACCATTGAGTTTGATATGACGCAAGTCAAAATAAATCAAACCGAATAAAAAGATAATTTAAATGGATTTTGAGTAATAAACACAAGAAAGATCTGTTGGAATTTAGTTATCCAAGTTTCCTAAAAAACACATGGTGTTGATACGAACAGAAATCTTTTTTCTCTCGGACTTAAATGTTCATCGGGTAATTTTCTTTCTCAGAATTTCTCACTTTTGGTAATTATTATTCTACAAGATGTTCGTAACAATATTGTCAATGGTATTGTTTTCATCATTACTTCTCACGCCCTGGTTATGATGATAAACTACATCTGCGTCCTGGGTAAGACGATAAAGTACGTCCAACATCAAGGCCTCTGATCAGGTCTTGTGGAGCGTGGAACCGCCACAATTGCTGGTGTTCACGGGTCAACCCTGACCCGGGGTGGTAGAACCTGTTAGGGTCCCAGCTATGGGCAAATAGTTAACACCCAAGCTTGTGTAAAAATAAGTTTTAATACCAGAAATACTTTGTAATAATAATAATAATAATATTAATAAATATTACCAGCAATAATTATTGAAGGAAAAATTCTTATCAGCAATACTTTTAAAAATACCAGCTATACAAACAGCTTTACATTTTCCGAAAATAATATTAACAGCTATAGATTTATCCAAGGAAGAATATTCCCCGAATTATATCTTTGAAGAAAAACATATTACCAGCGATAAAAAAATGTGTCGGCATTAAATAACCCATTGAGGTTGATATGCCGTAAAACAAATAA